TTTAGTTTAGTTTAGTTTAGTTTAGTTTAGTTTAGTTTAGTTTAGTGCTTAGGAAACAAATACATTGCTGGCGTTACAATAAAGACTTGCACAGTCTCATCTCAAGGTGAGTGATTGGCTGTGAGTGTAATCAACCTGATTGCCAACACCTGCCGCTCCTCTCCCATCATCTTATTAATGACACAAGTGCATCATGGGAAAACCCAGAGCTGTTGGCCCCTGCTTGTGCCTCACCATGGGGACACGACAAGTTCTTCTCATTTTTCTTGGACATTTTTTCACCGCTCAGTCTCTCCGGAGACTCGAAGATGCCATGTTCCCCCAGGAGTTAGGAGGATTTTTTGACCATAATTGGCTTTTTCCCTTTGATGGAGACTTTGACCTCCCGCCGCTGGACACCGTCTTCAGGTCCTGGCGAAGCCGGAGCCCTGGACTCCACATGTTTGGTGAAATCCCTCCCRTCACAAATGTTCCAAGAGTTCAGGTGTTCTGTGACGAAACGAAACTAAACGTTGCAGTGGAGAAGAAAGCCTTTGGCCTGATGCTGACTCAGGAAGAAATACAGCTGGGTGATGGTTGCATTAGCAACAAAGAGCTCCCTAACCAGTTTGTCTTTATTTATGACTTGGATCAGTGTGGGACTACAGCAGTGGTCAGTTGTGCATCTTTTTTCCACTACACTAATTTCCTAAATAATTTTTTTAATGACTTCTTAGGACTGTCTACTTGTCTTGCAGTTGCAAAATGGTTGGAAGGTGTTCACCAACTCTCTCCACCTGAATCCTAAGACACMTCCCACTTGGTGGCAAACTCCTCCCACAGTTCACATCTCCTGCATCCCAAAGAGGTGAGCAGACCTTGCTAAAACACCTGTAGTTGTCCACCAATTCTACTTAAACCTACTTTCTCTTCAGGTCGTACATGGATTCAAGCGTTATCCCTCAATCTGTGAATGCAAACCTTTTTGACATCCGAGCCATGAATCGTAAGGAATGCCAAATTACTCTACCTCTTTTTGTCTGGCAGCTGTTTTGTAAATGTGCATTTCCTCCTGCAGCTTCCTGGACCACCACAGCAGAGTCCAACCTCTATAAAAGGGGCCAGCTAGTTGATCTCCAGGTTTCTGCCAAAACGAGACCAAATCAACAGCTTTTCATCCACTCGTGTTTTGTCTCTGAATCCCCTGAACCTCAAACTAAACCCAAACATGCAGTGATACTTAACAAAGGGTAAGCAGTTCATTCATAAACCTTATTTTTTTTAAAATCACATTTAATGTATCTGACCTCCTGACAGGTGTGCATCCTCCCTGGGTTCTCCATATACTGTTGCTCAGTTTGCTGCTACCAACCGTGCAGATGTGGTTAATTTCAGGCTGAATACGTCACATCTCTTTTCTGAGGTRAGGCAAGCAAACTACAGCTGTACTGAAGTATTTTTAGATGAAGACTTAACTTGTCCCTCTTAAGTTCTATGTYCACTGCAGTGTGGTCACCTTGGATCAGAGGCTCACGTCTACCTCAAAGTCATGCAACTATAACGTTAATAAATCAAGGTATTTATGCTACTTTTGATATTTCCTCCCTTACTGTTTTAAGGATGCTAACATTGCAGTTMATCTTCCAGATGGGAGGAACTAAGTGGTGCAGACGTCTGTGGCTGCTGTAGCTCRAAGTGTAAAGGCTCATCTAAGAACACATCTCATGGTAAGTGTTTTAACTTAAAGTAGTTCTGCTCTTAAAAGTGGCTTACTGCATTTGTCTCTCCAGATGCCAAATCTGTGGTCRGTATTGGGCCCTTGATAGTTGTGGATGATGATCGGGAGTTGGGCCCCGCGCTTCCAGAATCTARACCACAAACTTTCAGCTCTTTACCCACCACTGTGATGTCTGACACTCCTAGTCCTGCTGAAGACGTGGTTGTTTCTGCTTCCACTGTGTCTCAAAGCATGCTGGAGTCGACACCGCAGGGTGTAGTAATGGTGAGGCAGGACCCAACCTCCAGGCTAACACTCTGGCTACCTGGACAGGTGCAGGCTGAACACGGCAACATGTATCCATTTGAAGATGGCTTGTTGCCGCAATCGCAGCCAGGTGAGCATCCTGAGCAGCAGCTTTCTGCCACGGAGGAAACTCTTCTGAGTTCACCCACAAATGAGGTTTCTGGTCTAACAAAAGTCAAAGGTGACCCTCTGCTGTGGGATATGGAACTTGTTGCGCTAACTGATGGCTGGCCAGTTGCTTCACAAGACAATGAAGTCATTGCTGATTTCCCACGGACCAGGTTTGGAAGATCTGGGAACCTTGCTACCCAGGCTGACTCACCGCTCCCAACTGAGATCRACGTCGGCCTCGTGTTTGACGAGTCAAAACAAACTTCACCAGACAGTGAGGACTCCGAAACTCAAACAAAACTGCCACCAGCCGACGGGACTGACACTGCCATGGGAGACGGGTTTTCCCAAATTCAAACGGACACAGAGCCTGAAGTAGACGTTCAGCCGATCGTTCGTACAAAACTGGAGTTCATGAAGGGTGCAGACGGGTCAACGAGGCTGAGTTATGAGGAAGAAGTGAAGCAAAAGGTGGAGAAACGTCCACAAGGAAAACAAGAGGCAAGATTGAAGGGTCTGCGCTCAACTTTTCTCAATTTGTTGCGGTAAGTCGGTACAATTAAACAAATGATGGATTCAGCAAATTCTTAAAATTACCCCTTCTATCCCAACAGGAGTATGGATAAGGCAGAATAATGCAGTCCAGAAGAATATTTAAATAAAAATGCTAAATATTGCTTCTGTACACTTGTTTTTTTTTTTTTTTTTTTTTGTTCATTTGAACAATCTCAAATGACCGCATGGAGTGGATGATCTGATCTAAAGTGTTGCAGATGACTGGTCTTAAGTTTTCTATAACCCAAGCTAACATTTGCAGTAGTATTGCTTTAAAACTAGTTCGGACAGTTTTAAAATTGCTACTATTCTGGACTAACACAACTAAAATAAAATGTTCCAAATGAGGACATGATTCTATACTTGTGCTTCAGTCTTTGACTTAACAGTTTTCATTGTTTTGCTCAACACTTCTATCATTAAAGGTGCACTTTCTATAGGGTACTTAAAAGTTTTTAAGGGAATGACATTTCTCCCACTTCTAGAGCCTTGGATGGCCGTTCCACCTGCCTGTAGGTTTTCCTGACTTATTCTACCCTCCCCAACTGTATTCTAGAATTGTAGTTTCAAAGCTTAAGATGGTATAAACATGCCACAAGTTTCTGAAGTGATTTAAGAAATTTTACTTAATCAAAACCTATTGCTTCTCAGAACCATATGCACCAGTAAAATGGGTCAGGCTACGCTTTAAAAAAGTAAAGGTGGGTGGGTAGATCTTTGTATGACCAAATTTCAACCTTGTTACACAAAATCACCAAGTGGTGGACTTAAACTGATGCAGGAGGAGTGTATGGTTTATACATCAACTAATGACTCATATTTAATAGTCTAAGTGTTTGATACAAGCAGGTCCATAAACCTCATGCAATGTGACAAAGTAAAGCTGTCATTTTGACAAGGCTTCTCTGCAATATATCGCAGGCACTGACTGGCAGCACCTGGGAGAGTACCAAAAGCTCAGCTGCATGTTTGTCTTGTAGGGAAGCATTGGCAGTGATTGGTTGCTTTTGTCTCAGGATGTCATCGGTGTGCACCAGTGGTAAAGGCTGTAAACACTTAAATATAAACTTCAGTTTAGAACGTTATATGGGTGATGGTGGCTCAGACGTTTCGAGATCGAATCCCAGCTAGGGACCTTTCTGGTTAGTTTGCATGGGTTTCCTCCCACTGATCAAAAACATGACTTGGACTACCTGGTAACTCTAAATTGTCGAGAGCGAGTGGATGTCACTGTTGGATATGGGCACCAGTGATCTCTGTTACCCGAAAGGGAAGAAGTAGCTTGGTAAAATTTATGTATTGACTCTTAAATTTAACATTTAGTAAAAATTAGCAATGAACAGTGAGCTATAAAATGTTAAAAATTGTACAGTCAGGTAAATTTATTTTTACATTTTATTTCAGACTTTGCTAAAATATGTTAGGCCTACAAATTTTTTTAAATTTTTTATACAATTTGTGTGAGTGTTCATATTAGTTTATGGCATTAAAGCCTAAATTAACTGGATGTTCATTTTAGTGGCAGTTTACAGAAGTGTTTGTAATGTTTTGGCTGTTTTATTGGCTGCTGGATCTCTGGACTCGTTCTCCAGCCCAGGCGTCGCTGTGGGGAGCTGCCCTCTGTAGTTGGGACGTTTCCCAGCGGTGCTCTCTCCCTTTTACACCCAGAGCTCCGGTGTGTTTTTTTTTTTTTTTTTCCTCTCCAAAGTTTGACCCTGACCACTGCCTGCGGCTATAAAGTGTCCATGCTGTCCGCACGCACTCTCTTTCCCCGGCCACAAACCCACCGTGAGTGTCCAACTCACTGTTCTCGAAAAAAAAAAAACCTTAAAAACCTATAAAAATAAATAAAATTTACAAAATCCTTAAAAATATACCTTTAAGAAATACAAAATTAAAAAAATAGCAAAATAATAAAAAACAAAACACACAAACAGAACGTGTCGGGTGGAGGCTTTTTAAAGGAAGAAATCCTCTTTAATTTTTAATTTTTTTCTTCTGGAGTCTGGGTTAGAGGAAGTTCTTCACCTTTTTTTTTTGGACCAGAACCGAACTATGAACACGGCAGCGGGCAGTTACCCCATGGCTTCTCTGTATGTGGGCGACCTGCACCCCGACATCACCGAGGCGATGCTGTACGAGAAGTTCAGCCCCGCCGGCCCGGTGCTCTCCATCCGGGTCTGCAGGGACATGATCACCCGCCGCTCCCTGGGATATGCTTACGTCAACTTCTCCCAGCCCGCCGACGGTAAGAAAACACACCTGGGAGGCGGGGGATAGYGTACTGATTGTGACATTTTGTTGTYACGGCCRTAAAACTGTACAAAYGATTCAAATRAAATGAAATTTACTCAGTTTGGAGGGAGTTTTGCAGCCAGAACAGCTGATTTSAGCCAAATGGTTTTTCACAATAAAAGCTCTTTGTCCAAGCAACACATGGATTAGAATTTGGCATTATGTGATATTAAACCACAATATTCACAAAAAAGAGGTGAAATCTACTATTTGTGTGTTAAACTCAGTTACATGCAGAAAAAACAAACAAACAAACGGTTTGTTTATTGAACAGATATAAGAAGTCAAATTATTCATATAAAATGTGATTAGCCTCTTTCTTAGACACATATAACTGTAAAGATTTTAAAAATACACAATGTTCAGTTCTCAGCTTAAGTCACTTCTCTTCTTTTTGCATAAACAAAAATGTTTTTTGTTGCTCTTATTTTTTTTTTTTCAAATTAAAGCTTACCAGACATTTTTATGCTTTCTACTTTCRTGTTGACTATAATTGTCATGAGAAATCTTAACTGTGTATGCTCAGGTTTTTACACCAGAAGCAAAAAGACACAATCCGTCTCAGATAGACAGGTTTTTTCTAATATATATATAATGTCCCACAGGGTAGAATAAAACTGTAATGACCCTTACATACAAACCTTTATTTGTTTGGTTTTAATGATGCAAATCTGTTTTTCTGAACATGAATTTTTAACTGTCTTTGTTAGTTTCAGTTGACACTCAACAGGATCAAACCGTGCCGGAGCTTTGAGTGAAAAAGCAGGTGTCGGAGGCTTGGTGACATTGCCCACATTGTGTGAACTTTTCTCCTGTTGTATCAACAGAGAGCACCTGTCACAGCTTATCTGAGCTGGGGAGGTTGTTCCCAAAAAGCCCCAGTTAAATGGGTCACGACGGGGTCGTTTCCTGGAAGGGGCTCCYGAGAGGAGCCGCAAGGGGATCAGAGAGCCGTGTAAACAGAGTGTGTTCGGTTGAACAATACTTTAAATGAGTTGTAGTGTTGAAGCAGAAAGGGGGGGTCCTGCGGTAGGCGATGGGAGTGTGTGATAACTGGATTTCCTCACTTATATGTGKGAACACGAGACCTGGTGTTGCTCATCTAGAGCAATCTTGAACGTCCCTTTCCTCGTGGATGGCAGAGCATGTTGCCCTCCATGCCAGCACATGCCTCTCAGGAGCAGCCCCCACCATACCTCTAAATATAGCGCTTCCCTCTGAGCAGCCGTAAATTTGCCTGCTGCGTGACACTTGAGATAAACGGTTGACAATTACAACAATCTTAATCTCAATCTCTTTATTAATTAGTTCTCTCGCCGAGCTCTAAAAAACAAAAACAAACAAGGATTCCCCCACTCTGAACCTTCCAGAAGTCCACGTGTTTGACAGCGGTCACACTCTGGCTCTCTGGTTGGGAAGTACAGTTGCAGGCCAAACTGCTGACGCCRGCAGACGTGAGGGAGCTCCGTTTTGTTTACCAGACACTTTCAGCTGGAAAAGGCCGGCCAGCACGTGTAGCGGAGCCACTGAACAAAAGGATGCTCRTATGAGAGCTGATGCAACACGCAGGCAGAAATGGTRTCRAYTGAGCTCACTGGGGTTAAATTAAAGTGTCGTATAGAGATGTTCTGTCTGTTCCAGCCTGTGTATGAGCATTGTGGTTTGTCTGAACAGAGAGACATGTGGCTTCGGTCTGCAGCTGCCCCACACTTGTCCCCAGCTGCTGCCGGATCAGCCACATGGTCTGCTGCTGTGTCTTCACCATGTGGCTCAGAATACAGCCGCACAGGAAGCGCAAAAAACTTTAGAACCCATAGCTTTCTGATGCTGCTAAAGGTGTGTTCTCTGAGTTGAAGCTCTGTACAAACAACAACACTTGACGCCCACTGCCTCTGTCTCTGTCTCTGCCCTTTAGCCGAGAGAGCCCTGGACACCATGAACTTTGATGTGGTGAAAGGGAAGCCGATCAGAATCATGTGGTCACAGAGAGATCCCTCGCTCAGGAAGTCAGGCGTGGGCAACGTGTTTATCAAGAACCTGGACAAATCCATCGACAACAAAGCTCTGTACGACACCTTCTCTGCCTTTGGCAACATCCTCTCCTGCAAGGTACGGGCTTCAGAAACATAAGCATTTATTTCTATTTAATCAAGCTGCATTTTAACCAGAAAGACCTGATGAGACAGGTGATAACATTTAAAATGATTCAGTTCAGTTTTTTTTATAGCACCTGATCACAACAAAAGGGCAGTTTACAAAAAWAAGTTCACTTCAATGAAAGTCTCAATCACCTACCATGCATAGACATAAACATTGCATAAACTGACTGTACTTTTACAATTAAATGTTGATATAAAGCAGGGGGTCTCAAGCACTTTGAGTCTGGGGACCCCTTACAAGGGTGAAAAAACCCATGCTGTTTTAAACATAATTTACCTCCTAAATGCCATGGGAATATTATCTTTTGTTTGGTTTAGTATGTTTGTTTTACTAGTRTATTGTGCCCCATATGTATTTTTTAAAAAATAAAAATCTCATGAACAATTTATTGAAAATTTTTGAGGACCCCAAAGATACAGCTCGCGGACCCCATTTTAAGAACCTCTGATGTAAAGGATCTCACTGAGCCAATAAAACAGGTCTGTTTCTCTTAACGTCTCATGGCTGTTTTCAGCAATATTTAAAGCAGGGGTTCTCAAATTTTKGGGTTCTGTGGACCCCTTGCAAGGATGAAAAATTATCAGCAGGGACCCCCTAATAAACAAACCCAAGGCTGTTTTAAAAAGAATTTACTGTCATTTTAACCCCTAAATGCCATGGGGATATTATTTTTGGTTTGGTTTAGTATGTTTGTTAAATATTGCGTAGATCCCCATATGCATTTTTTAAAATAAAAACCAAATTAGCAATTTATTGAATTTTTTTGAGGACCCCCAAGATATGGCTCACGGACCCCTGGGGGTCCTGGCACTCCTCTGATTTAAAGTGCCTGTGACATCAAACTTTTGTAATAAATATGAGTGCATTTTTGGAATGAATAACATATTTCAGAAAATATTTTATACCGCTGGGATGAACAGTTGTTGAGATAGTTGCATGTGAAGTAACAGGAAATGATGTCAAAGGGGAATGTCTGAACACAAACTGGGTGTTGCTACAATGGCTAACGACACAGACTGTAGAGGAGAATCWGATGTTTCTTTAGATTATTTTGAGTCATCAGAGAGAAAAAGAGGAGGCAGCGTATACAATATATCGTTTTAAGAAGTTTCCTTTCTTAAAAAAGTTCTCCATTGATGTCACTTCCTGTTTCATTTTAACTGAGCCTAATTCAAAAGTAAATGCCAGTTRTGTTATGTGACAAAATGGGTWWAATCCTGTTTTGTGTCAAGTTTCTTAAATATAAAGACGTCTTCCTTGACTTTTTTTTATTGAAGGACATGCATGTCAGCGTCCCTTTAAAGCCACGTGTGTTTGCGTGTCTTCCTCTCCTCCAGGTGGTGTGCGATGAGAACGGCTCTAAGGGCTACGCCTTCGTTCATTTCGAGACCCAGGACGCGGCCGATCGAGCCATAGAGAAGATGAACGGCATGCTTCTGAATGACCGCAAGGTGTGAGTGTCTGATCGCTCTCCTCTCGGTATTTGCTGGTCACGTGTTTTTTTTAATAACTTTTGACGGATTTATTCAAACTGTGAACACACTTTGATGGGTTCTGTATGCTTTGACGTTAATGTGGTCTGCCGATATATTTCTGTTGAAATGCTGATCATCCGTGTTGAGTGAACTGACCTCTTGTGTTCTTTTTGTTTCCAGTTGGTGGGTTTGTGTGAATAAAATGACTAATTCCACTAATCTARCAGCCATCAAACTCAAAGATAACCAACTAAACCTTCTTAGGTTTCTTTCCTGCCAGTACTACTTCTTCTGTTCCCTCATTGTGCCGTTTCTGGTCACCCTTAAAGTGTTTGCAGGTGTGTGTGTGTGTGTGTGTGTGTGTGTGTGACCTTGCTTGTGTGTTTTAGTGAAGGATCGAATGCAGAAATGCAATTCTGGATGGCAGAAGGAGAGAGGTCTTCATACCAAGGTATATAAGATCAGAYTGCTTTTTTTATACTTTGAGACTCTGTTCCTCGATCCCTCTCCATCCACCTCCTCGTCAAGTGTTGGACCAAAGGTTAAAGGTTGTCATAAAGCATGCCGATATTTATGCTTGCCTTTGGCTTAATTCAAACGATTGTTTTTTTTTGTGATTGTTGAACCCAGGAATGAAATGTAGCCGTGAACTCATCTCACGGAAGTTGTCCTCGTCTTTGAGCTTGCCAGACATCCTGTTTGGGCTTTCCCGCCATTTTTAAGGGCTATTTTTACAAGTGTTTTGCTTCTCATTCCTCTTTGTCGCTCAGGTTTGTGGGTCGCTTCAAATCCCGCAAAGAACGGGAGGCCGAGCTCGGCGCCAAAGCCAAAGAGTTTACAAACGTCTACATCAAGAACTTTGGGGACGACATGGACGACGAGCGGCTGAAAGAGCTTTTTGAGAAACACGGTAAAGCGGAGCAAGGTGCCTCTTCAGCACTGGAAATGTTGGGTTTTGCTTTTAAGTCTTTATTTTTTTTTTGTCGTTTTTCAGGTAAAACACTCAGCGTGAAGGTGATGATAGACTCCACCGGCAAATCCAGAGGGTTTGGATTTGTTAGCTTTGAGAAACACGAAGACGCTAACAAGGTGCTTTAGATTTACAGCCATGTTTAAAGGGTGTGTTTCCTTTTGTCGGGGCGGGGAAATGTTCTCAAATCAATGCKTGTTGATCCGAAAGGCTGTGGAGGAAATGAACGGCACCGAGCTCAACGGGAAGACCGTGTTCGTGGGGAGAGCTCAGAAGAAAATGGAGCGGCAGGCGGAGCTGAAGAGGAAATTTGAGCAGCTGAAGCAAGAACGAATCAGTCGGTATCAGGTAAGGTCTGAGCAGAAACGCATTTTAGTTTAAATATAATTAAAAACCACTGCCTTTTTTAATCGCAATGTTCCTTTTGTTCTATGTCAGGGAGTTAATCTTTACATCAAGAACCTGGATGACACCATCGATGATGAGAAGTTGCGTAAAGAGTTTTCTCCGTTTGGATCAATTACTAGTGCTAAAGTAAGAGAAATCATTTGATTGACACTTAAGAAAAGATGTGAAAGGTTGTGTTTTTTAAGACTCACGGCTTCTGTCTTCACGACAGGTGATGCTAGAAGAAGGTCGATCCAAGGGCTTCGGTTTCGTCTGCTTCTCTTCCCCCGAGGAGGCCACCAAGGCCGTGACTGAGATGAACGGGCGCATCGTTGGCACCAAGCCCCTGTACGTGGCTCTGGCTCAGCGCAAAGAGGAGCGCAAAGCCCACCTCACCAACCAGTACATGCAGCGAATCGCTGGCATGAGGGCCATGCCCGCCAACGCCATCATCAACCAGTTCCAGCCCACCAGTGGCTACTTCATGCCAGCTGTGCCTCAGGTGTGCAATTTGAATTCTGACTAGCAGAAATGGGCCAAAACGGTTTGCATGACTGAGTGTGAAAAGAGGGGAGGATGTTGGGTAATGGGTTGTTTGAATTTATTATTTTTACCATGAAAATTTGCAGAAGGCTGTTTGAATTAAACGTACTGCGTCTCATGAGAGGTTTCAGTGTGTGTGTAGGTTTTTTTTAATTATTTTTTTCTTTTTGTCCACTAAATGCTAAATTTCACTTATTGTCCCCTCTAGGCCCAAAATAGGACGACATACTACGCACCCAATCAGCTGGCCCAAATACGACCCAACCCCAGGTGGCAGCAACAAGGTGGCCGAGGTCAAGGTGAGCATTTGGGCTGTGAGTGCTCAATTTAAACATCAGAGTTATGTTTTGATATAATTGTATTTTTTTTTTTTTGTCCACTCCAGGTGGTTTCCAAGGAATGCCCGGCTCCCAGCTGCGTCAGCCTGGACCTCGTGGCAACCTGAGACACATGAGTCCTGGTGGACAAGGCCCTCGAGGTGTTTTATACATGGAGATTTAAAAAGCTGTAGAGCATTTCTGCGTATCACATTAATAAAACAGGTTAATGATTTTTTTTTCTTTTCTTCTCAAACAGCTACAGGCCAAGCCATGGCTCCTCGACCATCCATGGGAGTCTCTGGTCCTCGGTCCATGCCTCCTTACAAATACGCCACTAGTGTCCGAAACCCCAATCCTCAAGTGGTGCAAACGATTCCCTTACAGCAGGTGTTATTTCACTCTCCTGTCAGCTAAAACCTTCAAACTTGTAATTTCATTGTATTTTTTAATCTGAAATTTCTCATCTGTCTCATTAAGGCTCAGCCAGCTGTTCATGTTCAGGGTCAGGAGCCCCTCACGGCCTCCATGTTGGCTGCTGCGCCCCCACAGGAGCAGAAACAGATGTTAGGTAAGACTCGCTGTGCTTTAATACATTTCTCCTTTGTTGTTTTCAGTTTCTGATCGTTTTATTTCTTTAAAAACAGGAGAGCGTCTGTTCCCGCTGATTCAGGCCATGCACGCCAACCTGGCAGGGAAGATCACCGGCATGCTGCTGGAGATCGACAACTCGGAGCTGCTGCACATGCTGGAGTCGCACGAATCCCTCCGTTCAAAGGTAGCTCRCGGGATCGATTTTCACTTTTCCATTTTTCTGTACGTTTATTTTTTTCTGTCGAACTACTTCTGCATAACTTCAGCTGTTTTAGTTGTTCGTATGTCCAAATGTTCAGCTCATCCAGGAGATGGAGGGTAGGGGTGTAACGATTCATTCGAGTCTCGATTCGATTCGATAATTGATTTTTAAAATCAGTTACGATAATTTTCAACTTTTTTTTCAACAGAATAAATTGTAGTCATTTTAAAACCAAACATGTTTCTTTATATTTAACATCAGCTTTTTTGTCATTGTATCAAACTTTAACTGTCTGTTGTATTGTAACAGAATACAACTTTAAAATAAATAAATAATGTCATCAAAAATGCTTTTGTGACCAAAAGTTATCAAGTAATTTGAATTTATCATAATTAACATAATTAACTGTTATACAACAACAATGAAATTGAATAATTCATTTTTATTAATCAATTCAAACTTTATGCAGTTATAATTGATTTTTAATTGATTCTTGATAAATTGTTACATCCCTAAAAGGCTGTGATTTTTTTTCTAAACTTATTCTTTTCAAAAAATACTTTACTTTTTTATTTTATAGAAATACATTAAGATGTCTTCAAACACATTCAGCTTCGGTTTACTTGCGCTTTTTATGTCTTATGTTAGTTTTATTTTTTAGCTGCCGTTCTTCTACTTTTAGCTTTTATAGTTTGCTACTTTTAGCTTTTAGCTATTTTTTCTTACATATAGTTAGTTTTTTGAAGCCTTTATCATTTTAAGACTTTGAACAATAATCTGCCATTTCTAGTTATTAGTCAGCCTTTCAACCATTAATTAGGCTTTTGAAACATTTTGAAGCCATTTGCTCGGTTAAGTTTTTGCTACTGATCTGCGTCTTTTAGCTTTAACTCAGTTTCAACTTTTCCAACAAACCCTTGCAGAGAATCTCCATCTCCGAGAAAATAGAGATTCTCTGCACAGCTTTCACGCATTTTTTTCAGGAAATGCTTTTTGTTTTTTTTTTTCTCTTACTTGTCATTTCTACCACTGATGTTTCTCATTTTATTCAATATTTTGTGACATTTCTGTTTACTTCAGGTGGAGGAAGCTGTCGCTGTTCTGCAGGCCCACCAGGCAAAGAAAGATGCCACTCAGAAAACTGGCAGCATGACAACTACTGCTGCTGCAACATCCTGAAGGCTGTAAGTTCTGTTAGCAGTCGAGCCGATCATAAGTGTTGATTTGATAAAACAGTATTTTATGTTATTAACAAGAGGTTTTATTGTCTTGTTTCAGGGTGGAGAAAAATAAGCAGGGATGGACACCAGACAYCACAACAAATATGCAAAAAAAATTACAAATTCAAATAAAATTTTAAAAATATTTCATACCATCATTTTTACTGCCATAAAAGGCAGTAATACATATGATAGTTGCATGCAGGCCCTACTTTGCAAAGGAGAGAATGTTTTCCAAAAGGGAAATGGAGCCTGTTTTTTTTCTCACACTGAAAGCTTCATGTTTGATTTGAAATGACAGTTTGCCTTCATATGTTGTCATGATGAGGTGTGTGGTATTCTCAATAAAGGACTGATGGACAATGTTGAGTCTTTTTATTTTAAATGGTTTCATGAAAGACATTTTACTTTGTTTTAAAGTGTGTGTAATTGTGGRAACTCCAACTGTGTGAAATTGTTCTAAATCTTTGAACAAGGACAAATTGTTTCTGAATCACAGAAGTATCAAGGAACATAGTGCAGCAATTTTAAGAAAGCATTTACTCAATAATACTGTGTTGAATTTATTTCACATTATGCACATCAAATGTGTTTGGCATTAATAAATATTTTACATATTGCAACAAACAATGTTGAGTAAGCCTAAAATTTCTTCACTAGTGTGAGTACACAAGAAAAACTAATTTATTTTCAAAGAAAATACATTATTTTAGGAGTTGACAAATATTTACTTCAAAAACTGGAGCATGT